TCATGAATAATTCTTTAAACCTGATCATATTTACAGAAGCAGAACGGGACAACAAGAAAACAGGTAGATTGTGAGAAGGTGGATGTTGTTACATTATGATTTATTTCGAATTTCATTGGTATTGTTCTTTTAATATAAATAAACTCAATAGCATTGTAAACAATGTACATCTGGCAGGTTTATTGTGTGTTTATTTTATTGTGATATAGTAAAATCTGCTGATCTTTGTTTTTCAGAACTGGCTGATTGTCAGAAAGAATTGAAAGCTGCGCGTGAGTATAAAGTCTACATATCTATACACACGTTGGATGTGATGTATTTGTTGCCCTTTTTGTCAGAAGTTCCTTGAACAATGACTTGTATTTTGTTGAACGATCGTTATGTTGGAACACATATTCTTGAGCTCTGCCGTGTTATCAAATCCGCCACAATGTACATTTGGTTTTGTAGTTGAGGCAAATCTAATATTCTGATCCTTTTTATTCCATTAGAAGAAAAAGCCTATGATAAACTAACACCAGAAGGTAGATTGGATGCTTTACATTATGATCAGTGGGCAACTAATATTTGATTATTTTACAAGAGAACATAATTGATGTGAGTTGAATTAATTCAACAATCAAACATAAGGTCCTTTCATATACATCTGTACATAATTATGTTTACAGTGAAAAAACTGATCATGTTACAAGACGGTATGTATTGATAAAAGATTCAAGATTTCATAAGTTTGAAGAAATTTTCTTTTAGCTTCAATTACTTTTATTGCATTTTAATCTGTTTGTGTTCAATTTAATACTGCAATACTTTTGAAGAATAAAGTTACACAGTTTGTAGGATTGCTAGTTTTTTGTTAACACAAAGAATTATCATGTGATTTCCAGAAAAGAAAGCGTGTGAAATATCACTGGATAAATTAGGTAAGAAAGTGGAGGTTATGTGTAAAACTGCTAAGAAAAGAACATGTGCGGTGCACACACTGTTCATAACTGCAGCCAATTCCATATTTTGGCCGATGTGGAAGGAAATGTTTACACGTTGTATTGTGAACCCGCATTTTTGTGACCAAGGCTGGTGAGAAATAATGCAAATATTTTTGTTGATTTGAGCAGAAAAGGCGAATAAGAAGCAATTGGAAGGTAAAATCCGAAGGCATCAATGTGTATTTTTCTATCACTTACCTACATTTCAAAACATAGTCATCTTATTGTCATTAACAATCACTGGCATCTCATTTACACTTTGTTTCTTGTGTTTAGAATTTGAGAAGGTTGATGGGACCTTGAAAGAAAAAGGTGCGGAACAAATATGAATTGATTTTCAATTTAAAATAAAGAAAACGGTTTATTTCTGTGTAATATATAAATTAATTCTAGTTATGATATAAGTGATGTATGTAACTGATTGTTTATTTCAGTCTCTCCGTTCAAGGGTTATAGTTCACTGTGTGTTAATTACTGTGTTGCCCAACAGAGAAGCTACTTACTGAAAGGGAAAAAGGTATTGCCATCGATTTGCTTTATGTAACATGATCCCTGAAACTTGGCTGTTGTTTCCTTTCGTTTCTCGAATAGATGTAAAACTGGACAAAACAATCTGTTTTACAGAGACTGATGTAATGTGCAGAATCTTCTTACCTTGAACTAAATTGACCATCGACTGTGCAGCGTTTACCATCCAACTATATTGATATGAAAATATAATTGTTCCCTCTCATCTGTATTTGCTTTGCAGAACAAACCTCTTGCCAAGCAAGACTGAAAGCTGCGAGTAAGGAAACAGCCTTTTGTTATCTGCTCCCTCTTGGGGACATCATCCACAGACACGGGGTCAACTTCCACATGTATGCGGATGACACCCAACTCTATCTCTCTGCCTCCCCCCCGACTCCAGGACAACTGCTGTCCAACAGAATGTCTGTCAGACATCAAGGCCGGGATGAGAGCTAACTTTCTTCAATTGATGTCAACAAAACCGAGGCTCTCCTGATTGTCTCCCGTCAGCTCCTGACAGCATCACCATCCAAGCATGCACACTGCACCTCACCTCACAACATCTTGGCATCTTGTTTAATTTTGAACTCTCCTTTCGACACCACATCCATGCCATGACTCACTCGGCTTTCCCCACCTCTGCAACATCGCCCGTCTGCACCACTGTCTCACACTGTAGGACACCAACACTCTCATCCACGCATTCATAATATCCACACTGCTTCTCAGCCATCCCAAGACGTCTTGCATATGCCCAACCTCGCCCGACTCCACTGGCTTCCTATAACACAGCAGATACAGTTCAAGATCCTGGTCCTCACTTTCAAACTCCTCCATGGCCCTACTCCCCCCACCCTGACCAACCTGCCTGCTCCCTCTGCTCAGCGTACTCCGGCCTGCTTCACTTCCCACACGTCTCCCGCCTTACCATTGGTGGGAGACCTTCAACCGTGCACCCACCCTCCAAGCTGCAGTCCCTTTTCCTTGCCCCCTCCCTTCAATCACTTTCCTTCCCACTCTGCCCTCCAACCTCCATAATCTCGACCCGCAATTTGGATCCAAAACATTCCATATCCAATGCGTTGGGACGTCCTCCCGACGTGAAAGGAGGTATATAAATGAAATTTAGTTGTTGTTGGCCATTTAGTACACACTTTACATTTTGATGCTGAACAAAATCATTTTGAAAATGTTCATCATATTGAGAAATCTGACTCCAACAGAAGAAGGAAAAGAACCAGACCAAGCAGATGAAGCCAAACCAAGAGAGGAAAAGAAACCGGTGGATGTAAAGAAGAAAGGTAGTTATTTGCCAGTTTGAAAGTTTTACTATATTGGTCAGTTATTTCCCACCTCCAGGGTACATTTCAGTTCCATTCAACATTCATTTATTTGGGTTCCCATTTCTGTGTGTGTTGTGATGCTTTTCTCCTGGGTTTGGCGCTGACTGTGGAAATGCAAAATATTGGACGTTGCAAAACAGCAATGACTGAATGACACAAATGCTTCATAGATTTCTTGTCAATTTTATCAGAAGAGGATGATCTTAAAGCAAAAATCTCTGCCCTCAGTAAGAATACGTTTTTACTTATTTAAATATTGCAATGAGATGTCTGGTTTAGTTATAAAATAAATTGGTCATTTTCAATCTACGACTGTTTGTGGGACATCGCTGTGCGCAATTGGCTGCCGCGCTCGCCCACAAGTATACAGTCAATTCACTTTACAGTGTGTTCTGTGAAGCGCTTTGTGACGTCCTCCCAATGAAATGCGCTATATCAAATGCAAGGATTATTATTATTATCATTAACTTCTGTGTATGTTATTCTCCTTTGGTATTCACTGAGAACTCAGGGTGTTTAACCTCCTGGTAAATCTGTATTAGTAGCTGGTTGGAAATATTGAGGAAATCACTTGTACAGACCATGGATTAATCAGATAATTGCATGTTTTGAACAATACGATTGTCAGTTGTAAACTCATGTTGTAATTGTCTCTGCCAATACCTCTCTCAGAAAGCCGCTGAAACCCTGGTTCACACCTTTGTCACCTCACGGCTGGACTATTCTAATGCCCTCCTCACCGGTAATCCCCTCCACTACCATCCATAAAATCCAGATGATTCAAAACTCATCCCACATTCTCACCCACACCAAACTCCGCTCCCTGATTTTGCCAGACTGCACTGGCTCCCTGTCCCTGAGAGGATTGATTTCAAGATCCTCACCCTTGTCTTCAAATCTCTCCACTCCATCTGAACCCCTCCGACCTCTCTGACTTCCTCTCTCCTCAAAACAATGCCCGTTGCTTTCGTTCCTCCGGGTCTGGCCTCCTCCTCATTACCCGAGTCCTCCGCTCCACCCTCGGCGGCCGTGCCTTCAGCCACTATGACCCGAGGCTCTGGAACTCCCTTCCTCACTCCCTCACTTACTATTTTCAGGTCTCTGCTGAAGACCTTTCTTTTCGACCACGCCTTTAGTCACCTTCCTCCCCCTCCCCCTAGCTTCTCCCCCTCCCCCCGCCTCGGCCCCGGGATCCGTTACTGTGAAGCGCTCTGAGACGCCATCCGGCGTGGAGGGCGCTATATAAATCCAAGCTGTTGCTGTTGTTGTCAATTAACATCTGTCCCGGAACCTCATCACACACATAATATCCCACATTTACAGGTTGCTGTGTTGCTAATGAAGGAGCATTCAAAACTAATGTGTTTAACCACTATTATTTTTCTAGAAGCGGAGATTAAGGACATAGAAAAAGGTAAAAACTGAAACAATTTAAAGGTTTACATGAAATTCATGAGGCACATCTGTGACTGAGCTTCTGCATCTTTCGCTGTAAAGATAGCACTTCTATTGAAATATCTTATATTCTGATGGTTGTGGGGAAAACAAGAAGAGGTTTAAACGTAATATGAGAAACATTGATTACGCCTCAGTTTACACAGTTATTGATGTGTGGATATTTGTTATGTAACCTCAACCTCTTTCATCGTGTGTGTGCATTGGGATTTCAAGTGTTGATGATTCTTGTGAATGTGATGTGTTCCTCTTACTGTGTTGGAAAGGAAACGGCAGCCGTAGGTTGGAGTTTGGTTCTCCCCAAGCAAGAGAATCATTCACTGTTGAAATAAAAATACCTCATAAATATTTTGTTTGCTTTTCAGAAATAGAAGAGTGCAAAAAGCTCATAGTCCTGGCAGGTGAGACTCATGTCCAGAAAGCCTTGTGAAATGGGTCATGTCAACATCCTTGTTGTGAGTCGAGTCTATCCTTTCCCAAGTGCAGCGCCCAGCACATAATACCAAACTGCAAACACTTCTTAACTTCTCACCCTTTCACCTTTCCTCACTGAGTTCTCTTGTATTATTAGTTACGTGAGGTCGTCAGTTGGTGGTTCTGTTTCTCTCGGTTTCTTTTCTGGCTGCCCGGCTCAAGGGGGCAAAGTCAGCAACAGGCAATGAGTGTATTCTCACGCAGGTGCTTAATGGATTCTTTGCTTGGGCTTTAGAGCAAGAGGTTGTTGCAGAGGACGAGGACACAGCAAGTAAGCACAGATTATTTGTGTTAAACTTTCAGGTGGAGTTTTGTTTGTTAGTGTCCGAGCTGATATTGTCCAGTTTATCAAAGGGCGTCCGACCACATCATCTTGAAATGCTCAGAGACACTTTCTGATGTGTTTGGCACATTGCAAACTCTGGTTATGTTTTAAGGAGTTTAGCTAAGTTTCTTGTACGTGTTTTTCAATTCATGTCAATAATTTATGAAGGTGTTAAAAAAAACACGTTTTGTTTGAGGTTTACAAATTGTGTTTTATTAAAATTCGTTTCATATAAACATAAATTAATTGATTATTAATTATAAGAATCTCCAAAAACCAAAGTGTCTACATTTCCCATTGAAGAATTCCCTCAATCTAAACTAATTTCATGGCTTTTCAAAAATAGAATTAAAAACAGAAAGTGCAGGGACAGGTGAGCTTTAACATTTGATCAACATCACATTCTTTGGCTTCTGTTGCTTTGACCTGAATATTTTTCTTGTGAGAAGACACGATTACGGTTCTGCTCTGATCATTTCTTGTTTCACAGTGTCTCTCCTCACATATATCCTCAGATACATCAGTTTGTGAGGAATCAGTTGGATCACACTGGGTTGTTGTGCTCAAATGTGTCATTGTTTGTGTTGGGGTCGGGGTGTCAGTGGCTTCATGTTGTGATGATGGTTGTGAGTTTCTCTCTGAAATACTAATACAGTGGGAGAAGAGTTGTCCCCAATTCATGACATTATTTTGTTACGTAAGAAAAAAATCACTCTGTTTTTCAGAACTGGAAAAGTGTAAAACAAAACTAAAGGAAGCAGGTAGGGAAGAGGTTTCTGAGTTTCAATCAAGAGAATTATTTTTTCTGCTGATTATAAAATTGATATCAACAGGAAACTATACATAAGTGTGAATCTTAATAGTAGCTTTTTGTTTACAGAGGATCTTAAAATTAAACAAACTGCAGGTAAATGTTTATATACTGTTACACATCACAGTATCAATGCTATCATTTCATTTGTTGTAAATACATTTTTGATCTTAAGTGTTGAAAATGGTTTACTTGGTTAATTGGTATCTGATATAGCAATTCAGCGCCTTGGCACGTCCTCCCGACGTGAAAGGCGCTATACAAATGTATTCTTGTTGTTGTTGTTGATACAGCAAACGTCTTTTGAAAATCATGATTTTGCTCAATCTGTTGCTGACTTTAATCTCAGATATAGATATCAAATCAACTGACGACAATGATATAAAGGAAAACTTACACACACTGACTCACAAGGCTCACTCAGAAGTAGAAAATCACACTGTCCCAAACGACACAGGAACAGGCATTCACCAGAATCAAGGGAGGATCTAAACAGCTGTCACATAGCTCAAGAGTTCATCTTTTTTGTTTTAGACTTAGAGAAAGTGAAAGAAAGCTTGAAAACTACAGGTACAGAAAACAGTGTGTTTTAAATTATGTAAATATAGGTTTATGTATATGCACTTGGTACATCATAGAATAATAAATGTAATTCAGGTTCACAGTGAGAAATTAAGACATTTGGTATTTTCTAAAATGTGCAGATGTTTTAATTCCATGATATAATCATATCACATAATATATCTGAATGCCCTCTATTTGTTGTTTTCCTCAACAGAGGAATCAATTGAAAAGAATGATAAAGGTAATTACATGGATCTTAGAGAGGAGATTTGTCAAACATTTGATCACTGATATCCATTACAATCTCTCGGTTCCTCTTTTGATATCAGACTCCCTTCATAAAGGCTCCAAATGGATTGTTCATGGATCATCCTCTCCTTGCATTTATCCTCCTTCAGAGAGGCAAACGATAAAAAACAACAACAATATTACATTTCTATAGCGCTTTCTAATCAGGTGGACATCCCAAGGTGCTGGACAGAAAGAATCTTGGACCTGAGCTGTGGTTCGGGATCTGGGAGTGTGGAGGGCAGGGGAGGAAGCAGGTAGATTGAAAGTACAGCCTTAAGATGGATCTTGAAGTGGCAAGGGAGGGGTCGAGACAGAGGGACTGCAGTATGGAGTTCCAGAATGTGGGGCAGAGTGGGGTGAACAAGGTGGGGGACGTGAAGTTGGCTGGAGGCTGCTGAGCATAGGGAGCGAGCAGTATGGTAAGGGGTTAGGAGGTCACAGAGGCAGGGGGGAAGCAAGACCATGGAGGGCTTTGAAGGTGAGGACCAGAATCTTGAACGGTATCCTCTGTGTGATGGGAAGCCAGTGGAGTTGGACGAGGATGGGGATGATAGGGTCCCGGATCCTCGTGCGGGAGAAGACATGGGCTGCAGATTTCTAGGAGATCTCTGTCTTATAGAGGGAGGAGTTGAAGAGTCCTACAAGCAATGAGTTTGTACAGTTGAGCCTCGATGTAATGAAAATATGTATGAGGGTTTTGGTGGCCTGTGGTGTGAGACAGTGGTGACCTTGTGGGGGTGGGGGAAAGTAGAGCATGTCATGGTGCAGATGTCGGGTAGAAAGGATAGTTGAGGGACAAACAAGGTCCCAAGGTTCCAGATTGGCTCAGTGAGGTGGAGTGAGCCCCATGGATGGTGATGCTGTCAGCGCCTGAGGTGAGGAGGCGCTGACGGGAGCCAATCAGGAGAGCCTCGGTCTTGTTGACATTCAACTGCAGAAAGTTAGCTCTCATCCAGGACTTGATGTCCAACAGACATTCTGTCAGCACAGCAGTGGTCCTGGAGTCAGGGTGGAGGTAGAGACGTAGAGTTGGGTGTCATCCGGATATGTGTGGAAGTTGAACCCATGTCTGTGGATGATGTCACCAAGAGGGAGTATATAGTTACCGAGAGGAGGGGACCAAGGACAGAGCCCAGAGGAACGCTGCACGCTACAGTGCGGGGGCAAGAGGGGAAGCCGTTTGTGGAGATGAAGTGGAGGCGGTGTGTGAGGTATGATCTGAACAAGTCAAGGGTTTTTTAATGATAAGACTGATGACAGTATTTTTTGAATGGGTTGGGAACACTACCAGAAGACAAGGAGACAGGGAGAGGTTTATTATGAGTAGAGGGGCAAGGAGGTGGAGCTGGGAGGTAAGGAGAGAGGTCGGGAAGGGTTTGAGGGAGCAGGTGTTTGGTTTCATGCGGGTTGTGATGCTGATGATGGAGGAGGTGGAGACAGGTTCAAATATCGATTCCCTTGAGGAGGGAGCGATGAGTAGGGGCCGGGGTGGGGGGAGGAGATGGGGAGGGTGTAGCAGATGCAGTGGCAGAGGCAGCTGAGCGGATTCCCTTAACTTTAGATTTGAGGAAATCCAGCATCGCCTCGCAGTTGGCATTTGAGTTGAGGATGGGCGAGTTGTAAGAGGGTGGGCGGAGGAGCCCTTCACAATGGAGAAGAGCAGCCTGGGGTTCCTCAGCCTCGAAAATTGTCTTGGAGTAGAACGATAACACAATCTGAAGCCACCTGTTGATTGATTGAAACAAATTTGCTTAATGAAATGTTATTTTTCAGAAAGAGACACGTGTGAAGAAGACATAAAAACAGCAAGTGAGAATAAATAATTTATTTAAAGATATGGGAGGAGGGATTTGATTTGCTCACTATTTGAAAAGAGCAATTTAAGGCAGATATCAAGAGGCATTTCATTACACAATGGTGATCAAAGTTGAGCTATCATTGTATGCTATGGAATAATCAATTGGAATGTGTGAACAACAACAAAACAATTACGTTTGTATAGCGACTTTCACATGGAAGGATGTCTCAAGGCACTGGACAATCAGTGTTTTGGAGCTGCGGAGGGTGGAGGGCAGTGGGGAAAGCAGATTGATCAAAAGCACGGTCTAAGTGGAGGGTATGGAGATTGGTCTTGAATGATGCAAGGGAACGGGCGAGGTGGAGGGACCGCAGGATGGAGTTCCAGAGGATTAGGGCAGAAGCGCAGAAGGCCCACCCGCCAATTGTGGGGCGGCCGAAGCTGGCAATGTGAAGCAGGCCGGAGCTCGCTAAGCGTAGGGAGTGGGCAGAATTGTAGGAGGTGAGGCAGTCACAGATGTAGGGGGGTTGCAAAGCCATGGAGGGCTTTGAATGTGAGGATTCTTGGTCTGAGTATACTCAGATGTAAACGTATACTCTGAGTAATGGCAAGCCAGTGGAGTAGGGCGGATTTGGGAGTGATAGGGTGACTGCTGTGGGATAGGACATGAGCTGCAGGGTTCTAGATGATCTGCAGCTCATGGAGGGAGGAGTTGGGGAGGCCAACACTCAAGGCGTTTGCATAGTTAAACCTCGATGTTTTGAATGCATGTATGAGGATTTGGGCAGCCTGCAGTGTGAGACAGTGGTGAAGCCGAGCGATTTGGCAGAAGTGGGGAGGCGCTCATGGGAGCCAATCAAGAGGTCCTTGGTCTTGTTGATGTTCAAGAAAGTTAGCTCTCATCCACACATTTTGTCAGGACAGCAATGGTCCTGGGATCAAGCGTGGAGGCAGAGAGGTACAGTTGGTTGTAATCCGCATAAAAGTGGAAGTTGACCCCATGTCTTCATGTGATGTCACCAAGAGGGAACATATAAATGTTGAAGAGGAGGGGACAGAGCTCTGAGGAATGCCACACAAAATGGTGCTTGGCTAGAAGAGAACCCGTTTATGGAGATGAAATGGAGGCGGTGTGAGAGGTTCACTCTGAACCATTCAAGGACAGAACCGTGAAAGTTAAGATGAGAGAAGAGGCAGTGGATGAGGATGGAGTGCTCAATGTTGTTGAAGGCAGCAGAGAGGTCAAGGAGGACAAGGAGACAGATGGAGCCCTGGTCACAGATGGACAGAATGTCATATATCACTTTAACTGGGGCGTTTTTTGGGTTGTGGGCGGCATGGAAACTGATTGGAGGGGTTTGTGATGGTAGTGGCGGGAGAGAAAGGAGCGAAGCTGGAAAGCAATGACTCGTTCAAGGACCTTGGAGAGGAAACAGAGTTTGCAGATGGGGTGGCAGTTTAAGAGCAGTTTTGGGCCCAGGGAACGTTTTTTAAGAATAGGAGTGATGAGGACCGTTTTTAATTTGATGGGAATGGTAGCAGTGGACGAGGAGAGGTTTATGATGTCAGTGAGATGAGGGGCAAAGAGGTGGAGCTGGGAGCTAAGGCGATGGGTAGGGATGGATTTGAGGGAACAGGTGCTCGGTTTCATGTGGTTTATAGCTGTGATGGGAGAGGAGGGGGAGACAGTTACGAAGGTGTGGCAGGAGGGATGGGTAGGGCCTGGGTTGAGAGGGGAAGATGTCTAGAGGCAGTAGATAGAAGGGCAGAGGCAGCTGAGCGGATCTCCTCGACTTTGGATTGACCTGCATTGTCTCGCAGTTGGCATTGGAGGTGGGAATGTGCGAGGCATGAGAGAGTGGGCTGATGACACGATTGGTGATGGAGAATTTGATCCTGGGCTTGTCCTTGGCTAATGATTTAGCAGAGGTGGGGGCGGAGGGATAAGATTTGATAAGATCCAACCAGATCTGCCGATGGACCGTAAGTTCTATTTAAGCCAGTTGTGTTCAGCGGCACACACCTGTGCTTTAAGACAGCGGAGGTGGCTGGTGTACCATGGTGACTTTCATAAGTAGGAGACGGTTCAGAAAGTGAGGGCAGCAAGCGAATCGAGATTGGAGGAGAGGGAGCTGTGGAGGAGAGTGACTGAGGAGGATAGGTCATTGCGGAAGTAAGTCCAAAGGGGAAGGAGATCAAATGACTCCAAGGCAGCCGTGAGGGAGAGGGGAAGATTTTTTCCCAGGGGTGTTGGAGATGGTGATGGCTTGGATGGCAGTTGGGAGAGTCACTGACGATTTCAAGCGGATGAAATGATGCTCCGAGATTTCTTTGTCGATGATGGTGAGGTCCGAGATGTTGAGGCCCTGAGTGATCACCAGGTTGAGGGGTTGACCGTGGATGTGGGTGAGGAGTGGATGTGGAGGGAGAGGTTGAGGGAGGAGATAAGGGAGGAGACGGCATTCTTCAAAGTGAAGGGCATTCTTCATTTTGCTTCTAACATTGTTTCCAGACGAATCTTTTGTTTCTTGTGAAATGTTGAAATGTGCCTCTGATTCCCAAATGGACCATCTATGGCTTGAAATGAAAATGTTTAACCCGTTCATTGTTTTGGTTTCCAGAAGTAACCAAATGTCAGACAGATCTAAAAGAAGCAGAAAAAGGTTTGAAGTTTGGGGATGTCAATGATGCTCTGTTTGTTGGTCATTTGTTTCTGTTTCTATTTAATATCAAACAATTAGTATTTTGAAACTGGTTTCAGAGAAAAGTTGTTGAATAAATTTTGATTTTGTTTCCAGAACTAAAAAAATGTCGAGAAGAGCTGAGAAAATACAGTGAGTAGAATTATTTCATTTTTGGAGCTTGTTTAAGGGCTAAATATCTATGAAATAATTGTAAATATTGTTGGCCAGGAGACCTGGAGATAATCCTTTCCCACTGTGACAAATGCCAGGCCAAATATCCTCAATACATTCCTCAATGGCCTTATGGATGTAGGATGTTAATGTGCGTCAATGCCTTTAAATGCCCATTATTTGCGATTCAGAATAATTCCATGTGAAATGCTTTGGGAGAGTTTGACTTTAGCACAAAATGAAGTGCAAGGATTGATGTAGTAAGAATTAATGAATTCCATGTTCGACTTGTAGAGGATAATGATGATAAAGCTTTAGGTAAGGGCGACATTTTATTAAGTTCACTCTTTGCAATTAAATATTTACTCAGAAAGAAAGCTATTCTCTTTGTTATTCTGACCCTTTCCATACTGAAAACTAAAATTTCTAAATCTTAAAATGTCTTTATAATTAACCTTTTAAGGTAGGAAAACCCAGCACATGCCCAGATGGCAAATCAGGCAGATAATTGTGTTTTCTGTTTCCTCTGAGGTATTATTATTGTGAATGTAACCTGAAACATCCTGAGCTGCACTGCACCATTCGCACAACCTCCAGAACTTTGTAGACTGTTTTGAAGAAAAGCATTTCACCAATAATTCTTTAAACCTGATCATATTTACAGAAGCAGAACGGGACGACAAGAAAACAGGTAGATTGTGAGAAGGTGGATGTTGTTACATTACGATGGATTTCGAATTTCGTTGATACTTTTCCTTTTGCTCAGGTTACAGTTTAATAGAAATAAACTCAATAGCATTGTAAACAATATAGATCTGGCAGGTTTATTGTGTGTCTATTTTATTGTGATATAGTAAAATCTGCTGATCTTTGTTTTTCAGAACTGGCTGATTGTCAGAAAGAATTGAAAGCTGCGCGTGAGTATAAAGTCTACATATCTATACACACGTTGGATGTGATGTATTTGTTGCCCTTATGATCAGAAGTTCCTTGAACAATGTGTTGTATTTCTTTGAACGATTGTTGGAAAACACATTCTTGAGCTCTGCCATGTTATGAAATCCGCCACAATGTACATTTGGTTTTGAGTTCAGGCCCTTTGCAAATCTAATATTCTGATCGTTTTTGTTCCATTAGAAGAAAAAGCCTATGATAAACTAACACCAGAAGGTAGATTGGATGCTTTACATTACAACAACAACAACAACAACAAGATTTCATTTATAGAGCGCCTTTCATGTCAGGAGTACGTCCCAAGGCGCTATACAGTTGGGTCGGGACCCGAGCATTGGGGGGAAATGGTCAGGATGAGGGGAGGGAAGGGAGGGAGTGAGGAGGGGGTAGAGAGTCGAGAGGGGAGGTGAAGGCACGGTCAAAGAGAAAGGTCTTGAGCCCGGCCTTGAAGGAGGAAAGGGAGGAAGCGGCGAAGGCACTGGGGATGGAGTTCCTGAGCCTCGGGGCTGAGAGGCTGAAGGCCCGACCACCGATAGTAGGGCGGTTGGGGCGGGGGATGTGGAGCAGACTGGAGCCAGAGGAACGGAGGTTACGGGCAGGTAGGTAGGGAGATAGTAGGTCAGAGAGGTTGGAGGGAGCGAAGCCATGAAAGGCCTTGTAAGTGAGGATGCGGATCTTGAATTCAATCCTCTGGGGGATGGGGAACCAGTGGAGGCGAGCGAGGGCGAGGGTGGGAGTGATGTGGTCCCGAAGCCTGGTGCGGGACAGTATACGAGCTGCAGAGTCCTGAATGACCTGCAGTGTGGAGGGAGGGCCGGGAAGGCCGGCGAGGAGAGAGTTCCCATAGTCCAGCCTTGAGGTGATAAGGATCCGTGGGCAACTAAAATTTGGTTCTATGACAAGTGAACATAATTGATGTGAGTTGAATTAATTGAACAATCAAACATAAAGTCCTTTCATATACATCTGTACATAATTACATTCACAGTGAAAAAATTGATCATGTTACAAGACGGTATGTATTGATAAAAGATTCAAGATTTCATGAGGTTTAATCAGTTTTCTTTTAGCTTCGATTACTGCGTTTATTGCAATTTAATCTATTTGTGATCAATTTAATACTGCAATACATATGAAGAATAAAGTTACACAGTTTGTAGGATTGCTAGTTTTTTGTTAACACAAAGAATCATCATGTGATTTCCAGAAAAGAAAGCGTGTGAAATATCACTGGATAAATTAGGTAAGAAAGTGGAGGTTATGTGTAAAACTGCTAAGAAAAGAACATGTGCGGTGCACACACTGTTCATAACTGCAGCCAATTCCATATTTTGGCCGATGTGGAAGGAAATGTTTACACGTTGTATTGTGAACCCGCATTTTTGTGACCAAGGCTGGTGAGAAATAATGCAAATATTTTTGTCGATTTGAGCAGAAAAGGAGAATAAGAAGCAATTGGAAGGTAAAATCCCATGGCATCAATGTGTATTTTTCTATCAGTTACCTACATTTCAACACATCGTGATCTTATTGTCGTTAACAATCACTGGCATCTCATTTACACTTTGTTTGTTGGTGTTTAGAATTTGAGAAGGTTGATGGGACCTTGAAAAAAAAGGGTGAGGAACAAACATGAATTGATTTTCTGTTTCTCTCTCATATCCGCGCCACAACTGGCACCGCCTTCCATCACCTCTGGAATGTCGCCAGACTACGGCACTACCTCACCCCTCACGCGGCTGAAACTCTGGTCCACACCTTTGTCACCTCAAGGCTGGACTGTGGGAACTCTCTCCTCGGCGGCCTTCCCGGCCCTCCCTCCACACTGCAGGTCATTCAGAACTCTGCAGCTCGTGTACTGTCCCGCACCAGACACCGCGCTCACATCACTCCCACCCTCACCCTCACCCTCGCCCTCATCCTAACCCTCGCTCACCTCCACTGCTCTCCATCCCCCAGAGGATCGAATTCAAGATCCTCATCCTCACCTACAAGGCCATTCACGGCCTTGCTCCTTCCTGCCTCTCTGACCTACTATCCCCCTACCTACCTGCCCGTACCCTCCGTTCCTCTGGCTCCGGTCTGCTCCACATCCCCCGCCCCAACCGCCCAACCATCGGTGGCCGGGCCTTCAGCCTCTCAGCCCCGAGGCTCTGGAACTCTATCCCCCAGTGCCTTCGCCGCTTCCTCCCTTTCCTCCTTCAAGGCCGGTCTCAAGACCTTTCTCTTTGACCGTGCCTTCAGCTCCCCTCTCGACTCTCTACCCCCTCCTCACTCCCTCCCTTCCCTCCCTCCCCTGACCATTTCCCCCTTGCTCGGGTCCTGACCCAACTGTACAGCGCCTTGGGACGTCCTCCCGACGTGAAAGGCGCTAAATAAATGGAATCTTGTTGTTGTTGTTGCTAAAATGAAGAAAACAGTTTATTTGCATGTTATATTTAAATTAATTCCAGTAATGATATAAGTAATGTATGTAACTGATTGTTTATTTCAGTCTCTCCGTTCAAGGGTTATAGTTCACTGTGTGTTAATTATTGTTTTGCCCAACAGAGAAGCTACTTACTGAAAGAGAAAAAGGTATTGCCATCGATTTGTTTTATGTAACATGAACCCTGAAACTTGGCTGTTGTTCCCTTTCGTTTCTCGAATAATTGTAAAATTGGAGAAAAAAAGGTGTTTTACAGAGACTGATATAAAATGCAGAACCTTCTTAACTTGAACTAAATTAGCCATCGACTGTACAGCGTTTACCAACAAATTATATTTATATGGAAATAAAATTGTTCCCTCTCATCTGTGTTTGCTTTGCAGAACAAACCTCTTGCCAAGCAAGACTGAAAGCTGCGAGTAAGGAAACAGTCTTTTGTTGTCTGCTCCCTCTTGGGGACATCATCCACAGACACGGGGTCAACTTCCACATGTATGCGGATGACACCCAACTGTATCTCTCTGCCTCCCCACTGACTCCAGGAAAACAACAACAACAGCAAAATTACATTTATAGAGCGCCTCTCACATTGGGAGGACGTCCCAAAGCGCTGAACAGTCAGATGTCGGAGCCTGAGCATGGGGAAGTGGTGTGTAGGTGTGAGGGAAGGCAGAGAGGTGGGAGGGTGACCAAAGGCACGATCGAAGAAAAGGGTCTTGACATCGGCCTTGAAGGAGCCAAGGGAGGATGCGAGGTGAAGGGTCCGCTGGACGGCGTTCCAGATTGTGGGGACAGAGAGGCTGAAAGTCCAGCCATCAATGGTAGGGCGGGTTGGGTGCGAGACATGGGGCAGGCTGGAGCCCAAAGAACGTAGGCAGAGGGCAGGTTGGTAGGGAGTCAGTAGGGAGTTTGACTATGCAAACTCCCTGCTTGTGAGGCTCTCCAGCATCTCTTGGCATTGGTTGCAAATCTTCCAGACCTATGCAGCCGAGTTTATCACCTCCACCATGCTTTGTGACCTTATCATCCCTATTCTCGCCCAACTCCATTGGCTTCCCATCATAGAGACGAAACAGTTCAAGATCCTTTAACTCAGCTTGAAAGCCCTCCATGGCCTTGCTCCCCACTAACTCTGGAAAATCTACAACCTCCACCAACCTGCCCCTGTCTCCGCTCAGCTGTCTCCAGCCTACTTCACTTCCCCCATCTCTCCTGCCCAACCATTGGCGGGAGGCCATCAAAACTGCCCCAACATCTGGCACTCCATGTTGCAGTCCCTCATCTTTGCCCCCTTCCATCAATTACCCTCCTTGCACCCTCTCTCCCCTCTAAGCTCTCCGATCTCAACCCCCAGTTCGGGTTCAAAGTAATTTTATGATTTTCATCATATTGAGAAATCTGACCCAACAGAAGAAGGAAAAGAACCAGACCAAGCAGATCAAGCCACACCAAGAGAGGAAACGAAACCGGTGGATGTAAAGAAGAAAGGTAGTTACTTGCCCGTTTGAAAGTTTTACTATATTGGTCAGTTATTTCCCACCTCCAGGGTACATTTCAGTTCCATTCAACATATATTTATTTGGGTTCCCATTTCTGTGTGTGTTGTGATGCTTTTCTCCTGGGTTTGGCGCTGACTGTGGAAATGCAAAATATTGGACGTCACAAAACAGCAATGAATGGATGACACAAATGCTTCATAGATTTCTCGTCATTTTATCAGAAGATGATGATCTTAAAGCAAAAATCTCTGCCCTAAGTAAGAATACATTTTGACTTATTTAAATATTGTGATGAGATGTTTGGTTGGTTATAACCTTCTTCTGTGTAGGTTATTCCCTTTTGTTTTTGCTGAGAATTCAGGGTGTTTAACTTACTGGTGAATCTGCATAAGTCGCTGGTTGGAATTATTAAAGAAATCATGAATTGCTCAGATTGTTCTATAGGTTGTAAATTCATGTTGTAATTGTTATCTATTGTCATCTATTGCAGAACCTCCATCACACACATAATTACATTCACAGATGTCCTTTCATGTCGGGAGGACATCCCAAAGCGCTGCCTTTACAGGTTTCTGTGTTGCTAATGAAGGAGCATTCAATAACTAACGTGTTTAACCACTATTATTTTTCTAGAAGCAGAGATTAAAGACATAGAAAAAGGTAACTACTGAAATGATTTAAAAATGGATATGAAATTCATGACTCATATCTATTACTATGAGCTTCTGCGGCTTTTGCTGTAAAGATACCACTTCTATTGAAATATTTTATGTTCTGATGGTTGTGGGGAAAACAAGAAGAGGTTTAAACGCAATATGAGAAACATTGATTACGCCTCAGTTTATATAGTTATTGATGTGTGGATATTTGTTATGTAACCTCAACCTCTTTCATCGTGTGTGTGCATTGGGATTTCAAGTGTTGATGATTCTTGTGAATGTGTTGTGTTCGTCTTACTGTGTTGGAAAGGAAACGGCAGCCGTAGGTTGGAGTTTGGTTCTCCCCAAGCAAGAGAATCATTCACTGTTGAAATAAAAATACCTCATAAATGTATTGTTTGCTTTTCAGAAATAGAAGAGTGTAAAAAGCTCACAGTCCTGGCAGGTGAGACTGATGTCCAGAAAGCCTTGTGAAATGGGTCATGTCAACATCCTTGTTGTGAGTCGAGTCTATCCTTTCCCAAGTGCAGCGCCCAGCACATAATACCAAACTGCAAACACTTCTTAACTTCTCACCCTTTCACCTTTCCTCACTGTGTTCTCTTGTATTATTAGTTACATGAGGTCGTCACTTGGTGGTTCTGTTTCTCTCGGCTTCTTTTCTGGCTGCCCGGCTCAAGGGGCAAAGTCAGCAACAGGCAATGAGTGTATTCTCACGCAGGTGCTTAATGGATTCTTTGCTTGGACTTTAGAGCAAGAGGTTGTTGCAGAGGACGAGGAAACAGCAAGTAAGCCCAGATTATTTGTGTTAAACATTCAGGCGGAATTTTGTTTGTTAGTGTCCGAGCTGTTGTATGAATCTAACTTTTACATTGTCCAGTTTATCAAAGGGCGTCCAACTACATCAACTTGAAATGCTCAGAGACGCTTTCTGATGCGTTTGGCACATTGCAAACACTGGTTATATTTTCCTAAAAAGAACTAAGTTTTCTTGTATGTTTTTTTAAATCCGTATCAATAATTAATGAAGATGCTAAAACAAACTTGAATATACGTGTGGTCTGAGGTTTACATATTTGTGTTTTATTAAAGTTTGTATCATATAAACAAAAATTGATTCAGTAATAATTACAAGAAACTCCCAAAGCCAAAGTATCTACATTTCCCATTGAAGAAATCCCTCAATCTAAACTAATTTTATGGCTTTTCAAAAATAGAATTAAAAACAGAAAGTGCAGGGACAGGTGAGCTTTAACATTTGATCAACATCACATTCTTTGGCTTCTGTTGCTTTGACCTGAATATTTTTCTTGTGAGAAGACACGATTACGGTTGTGCTCTCATCAGTTCTTGTTTCACAGCGTCTCTCCTCACATATATCCCCAGATATGTAAGAAAAAAATCCCAATGTTTTTCAGAACTGGAAGAGTGTAAAACAAAACTAAAGGAAGCAGGTAGGGAAGAGGTTTCTGAGTTTAAATAATCAAATGATATCGACAAGAATATATACATAAGTGTCAATTTTAATAGTAGTTTTTTGCTTACAGAGGATCTTAAAATTAAACAAACTGCGGGTAAATGTTCACATCAGATCTGGAATACATTGTTTGAAAGGGCGGTGGAAGACTATTCAATAACGACTTTTAAGAGTGAAGTGGATAATTATTTGGGGAGGACAAGTTTGCAGGGATATCGGGAGAGAGAGGGATTGATTTGGAAGCTCTTTTAAAGGAGCCGGCACAGACAGGATGGGCTGAATGGCCTCCTTCTGTGCTGTATAATTCTGTGATTCTATGAGTCTGGGATCATAGAATCATCGCAAGGTGTCCTGTAGCTCAGTGGATGGAGCACTCGACTCACTCGACCTGGATTCGATTCCCGGCAGTGCGAGACCTTGGGCAAGTTTCCTTACTCCACACACCTGATAATAATCCATCAGAAGAAAAAACAATAATAAAAAAAGGGTCACTTCAACCCTCGAATGTCTGTAGGGACACTGCTGTGCGCAATTGGTTGCAATTCACTTTACAGTATGTTCTGTGAAGCGTTTTTTGACTTCTAGAAGATGTGAAATGCGTTATGTCAAATATAGGAATATTAATATCACCGCAGTATGAATGTTATTTCACATATTTGAAATAATAAAGGGAATTTAGACCTCTTGATAGTTGAAAAATATTTTTGTTGAAACTATGTTTTAGATCACAAATATGGACACAAATGAACAGTTGATAACGGAATACAGCAAAATATACACAGACCAACAGAGAGACGGATAAACACATACACTCACAGATATACGAAATAACACCCTCACAAACAAAAGAGGGAAAAGCATTTACCCGATAAAAGGGAGGTTATGCACAAGGATGAATAGCTGAAGAAATTTCTTTTTTTTTTAGAATTAGAGGAAGCAAAACAAAGCTTGAAAACTACAGGTGATGAAAATAAGTTTATTCCCATACCAAAATATCAAAATAATACAGTGAGAAATTGTATAAAAACCTAAAAAATAACCTAAATTACATCTTGAGATGATGATATGATCATATTACGCAAAGCATTTGAATACCCACAAATTCTTGTTTTCTTCAACAGAGAAATCAATTGAAAAGAATGATAAAGGTAATTACATTGATCTGAGAGAGGAGATTTGTCAAACATTTGATCACTGATATCCATTACAATCTCTCGGTTCCTCTTTTGATATCAGACTCCCTTCATTAAAGGCACAGAATGGGTTGTTTATGGATCATCCTCTCCTTGTGTTTGTCCCCCTTCGGAGAGGCAGTCGATAACACAACCCGAAGCCACCTGTCGATTGATTGAAGCAGATTTGCTTAATCAAATGTTCTTTTTCAGAAAGAGACACTTGTGAAGAAGAGATAAAAGCAGCAAGTAAGAATATATAATTCATTTAAAGATTTGGAGAAGGATCTTATCTTGTTTGCTGCTCACGATGTGAAAATTGGTGAAAATAGATCAAGCTTATTTATGTCGAGTAATTTAAGAAGGATAACAAGACGTTGTTGACAATGTTTAATCAAAGTAGAGCAAACATCGGGAAATGGTTTGGTTGTTTATTCTGGAAGAATAAACAGGAATGTGCGAAGGGCAATCCTCATTCTGTTACTAAAATTGTCTTCAGATTAATCTTCTCTGCTTCTAAATCAGTTGAAAATTGCTGAATCCCAAATTAACTGGTTGAAATAAAAATGTTTAACCCATTCACTTTTTGGATTTCAGAACTAACCAAATGTCAGACGGATCTAAAAGCAGCAGAAAAAGGTTGGAAACTTGGCAGTGTCCATGTTTTCTTTTCTATTTAATTTCAAGAATGGGTGCCATTTGTTGTTAGAATATACACTTTTTGTTTTCTGCTAGAATCATAATAGATGTTGTGAATGGGTTAACTTTTAAGTTAAGTGTTGGGGACAACTGGACGGACAGTCATGGGATAGGACTCATCTGGTTTTCTCTGTTTTTGAAAGAATAACAGACAGGGGCCGGGGATCACCTCTTATCAGTAAATGACAACAAGCCACAGAGGTAACGGTCCAAGGTACCAGTCGACACAGGATCTCGACTGAGCAATAAGTCGCTAGATTCTGACAGGGCCAACCGACAGAGGGCAACCCTCAACAATAGCAATTAATGAGCAAGTTGCTTAAACGAGAGGGCCTCGGTACCATCACGGGATACTGATAAGGAATAACCAGTCACTTAACAGGAATGTACTAATGATCCCACACCACAAAATAATGAGCACCAGATACAGCCCTAAACTGATCAATCCTCTATCTTCGACAATTAGATCAGACAACAGGGCTCTTAAGGACAATGTGTACGTGTGCTGAGGCACTACACCCCATGAGGTGTTCACGTACACCCAGAATGATTTCGACCGGGTGATCTAATGTCCGCACCATGATTGGATGAACATTGGTATAAGAGTTCCGTTAACTTTGTGTACGGGGCCGTCCCGGGTCGCGGAGACAAGGGTACGGAGATGGAAGACTGAGTGCTAGAAACACTAAGACTGAGGATATCAGATGGAAGATTGAAAGCTGTAAGCAAGAAGACTGAAAGCATGAAGAATCAAGCTTGTGTGCTGGAAAGACAGAGTGTTGAACTGTTGAACTCGAGCTATCTATAGTGGTGTTATTCTGTTATAAGATCTGTTGATTGTACCGGCCTTTGGTCTGACCCATCGGGATATTGGGGAATAACGAAGAATAATAATAAAACAGTCTGAAATCTGGTAGGGGAATTAGTGTTATTTCCTTACAGATTTGGCTGATTTTATTTTCTAACACATTGCTATTGGAACAGCCACAATGCACTGTTTCCGATTGATTATTATTATGTTAGTAAAGAGGGAAAGTGATACCGTTTCAATTGATATATCTTCCAGGATACAAGTAGAACAGCGCTAAGTTACCAATTGTTAAAACTGGTTCCAATAAAAGTGTTGCATAAATTTCCGTTTTGTTTCAAGAACTAAAAGAGTTGAAAGAAAGGCTGAAGAAAGACAGTAAGCAAAATTATTGTATTGTTGAAATTTGTAAAATTGGCTGCATATTGATGCAATAATGATAAATCTTTGCTGACCAGGAATCTTGGAGAAAATCGCTTCTCTTTCTGACAAATAAAACAGCAAAAATCCTCCAGTTAAATTACTCAATAGCATTATGGATGTTGGATATTGCTGCGCAGTCTATGCCTTTAAATGGCTGTGAATAATTCCATGTGAGGTGCTTTGAGAGGGTTTCTCTTTCGGTGCTGAATCAAATGCAAGATTTGATGCCGTAATAATTAATGGATTCCATGTTTGATTTGTAGACGACAATAATGTGAAAGCTTTAGGTAAGGACAACATTTATATTAATTTAACTCTTTGGAATACAAGTTTTCATCAGATCGAAAGTTGTTCTTTGTTGCCATTTCCACACTGAGATACTATTATTGTGAATATAACCTGAAACATCTCCGGCTGTGTTGCACCATTCTCACAACCTCCCGCGCTTTGTAGATTGTTTTGAAGGGAAGCATTTCATCAGTAATCCTTTAAGCTTAATCAATTTTACAGAAGAGGATCTGGAGAAGAAGAAAGCAGGTAGATTATGAGGAGCTGTTGTTATAATATGATCCAATTGGTATTTTGCTGATGTATTGTTTTACTTGTGGTGCAGTTTAATAGATATCAATGCAATAGCATTGTAAATAAAGCTTTAATTGTGTTTCTGTTATTGTGATATAGTAAATTCTCCTGATCTTTGTTTTTCAGAACTGGCTGATTGTCAGAAGGAATTGAAAGCTGCGCGTGAGTATAAAGTCTACATATCTATACAAACGATGAATGTGATGTATTTGTTGCCCTTATGATCAGAAGTTCCTTGAACAATGTGTTGTATTTCTTTGAACGATCGTTTTGTTGGAAAATATATTCTTGAGCTCTGCCATGTTATCAAATCCGCCACAATGTACATTTGGTTTTGTAGTTCAGGCCCTTTGCAAATCTAATATTCTGATCGTTTTTATTCCATTAGAAGAAAAAGCCTATGATAAACTAACACCAGAAGGTAGATTGGATGCTTTACATTACGATCAGTGGGCAACTAATATTTGATTATTTTACAAGTGAACATAATTGATATTAATTGAATTAATTCACCAATCAAACATGAGGTCCTTTCATATATATTTGTACATAATTATTTCTACAGTGAAAAAATTGATCATGTTACAAGACGGTATGTATTGATAAAAGTCCAACATTTCATAGAATTTCAGAATTTTTTTTATCTTCAATTAATGCTCTTTTTGCAATTTAATCTATTTGAGATTAATTTAATACTGCAATATTATGGAAGAATACACTTGCACAGTTTGTAGGGCTGCTAGTTTTTCGGTGACTCAAAGAATTATAATGTGATTTCCAGAACGGAAAGCGTGTGAAATGACACTGGAAAAATTAGGTGAGAAAGTGGTTGATATGTGTAAAGATACGAAAAAAAGAATATGTGCGGTGCATACACTGTTCTTAACTGCCGCCGATTGCATAGTTTGGCCGATATGTAAGGAAATAAGGACATGTTGTATTATCAACCTGCAGTTTGGTGACCAAGGCTTCACCACCTGCAAATGACTGTTTGACCAGTGAGAAATAATGTGAATATTTGTGTTGATTTGAGCAGAAAAGGCGAACAGGAAGAAGTTCAAAGGTAAATTCCAATGATCCCAATTTGTATTGTACCTGCACCCTACGTTGCTATAAAGTTCCAGTTTATATTTTAGAAACTATTCTCAGATACTTCATTGATGTGGTAAAGACACATATGTATTGATCTGTAGCTTTGTTGTAAGAGCACTCACCTCACAAGTGAGAGGACCTCAGTTTGATTCCCGTCAGGGCGAAACTTTGGGCAAGTTTCCGTTCTACATACGCCTTTGTTTACCTAGCAGTAAGTAGGAACATATTTGTTACTCGATTGGCATGTCACTTTTCCTTGGGTAATAATCCTTTCAAAATAATAATAATATTAATAATTTGGTCACTCAATCCACGACAGTTTGTGGGACGCTGCTGTGTGGAATTGGCTGCCGCGTTTCGCCCCAAATAATATACAGTCAATTCATTTTACATTATCTACTGTGAAGCACTTTGAGATGTCTAAAAGATATGCTATGGCCCTGTACGAAATGCTAGATTTATTATTATTTATGTAGCCAGAAGAATAAGTGTTGATAGGTCTCGTTTTGCTTTTCTGTTGTTAGAATATTTGATGTTTGATGACATCTATGAAGAAAAAGGTGAAGNAAAAATATAACTTGATTTTCTTTTACAAGAAAGAGAACGATTCCCCTCATCATTATGTATAATTTAATTCTGTTTATGATATAAATGATGTACGTAACTAATCATTTATTTCAGTTTCCCCGTTCAAGGGTCATAGTTCGCTGTCTGTTAATTTTTGTTTTCCCCAATAGAGAAGCTACTTACTGAAAGAGAAAAAGGTATTGCCATCCACTTGCTATCAGGTCTCACCAAATGGATCAATTTCAAGATCCTTTCACTCGTTATCAAATCCCTTCAAGCCCTTGCACTTCCCGACCTCTCCGAACTGCTCGGCTGGCTCTGGCCTCCAGTTTGTCCCTGTGCCATCCACTCCACCGCCGATAGCCGTGACTTCAGCCACTGAGCCCTGAAATTCTGGAAATCTCTCCCTCAATCCCTTCACCTTGCCACCACCCTCCCCACCTTCAAATCCCACCTAAAAGACCTCTGCCACTGTGAAGCACTCCAGGACACGACTGCGCTGTCAGGGCGCTGTATAAATGCAAGTTATTGCTGCTGTTGTTGCTATTTGCTTTATGCAACATGATCACCTGAAACGTGGCCTGTTGTTTCCTTTCTTGACCAGCTGTAATACCTTCAACTCAATTGACCATCGACTGTAGCTTACACCATTCAACTATGTTTAAATGGAATTCTAATTGCTCACGTTAAGCTGTGTTTGCTTTGCAGAGCTAACCACTTGCCAGAAAAGACTAAAAGCTGCGAGTAAGAATATAACTTTTACAATACAACATTACGTTTGTACAGCACCTTACAAGTTAGGAGGACATCCCAACGTGCTGGACAGTCAGAGATTTAGATCCGAGCTGGGGGGTCGGGATTGGGGAGGGTGGAGGGTAGCGAGAGCAGGCGGGTGGCCGAACATCGAGGAGGAGGATCTTGAAACTTGCCTTGAAGGAGGCAAGAGAGGGAGCGAGGCAAAGGGAATATGGGATGGAGTTCCAGAGGGTACGGGAAAAAAGGCTAAAGGCCTGACTGCCGATGGTGGGGTGGGACAGGCGGGGGATGTGGAGCAGGCCAGTGCCAGAGGGAATGGGCGGGTTGATATGGGGACTGGTTTAATAAGAGGTTTATTTATTAGAAGTGACAAATTATTCTTGTTTGTCATCTTGGCTCTTTGAGCCTCACTTTGTATTTTTATGCTGAGCAAAACATTAAAAATATACTGAGAAATCTGACTCCAACAGAAGAAGGGAAAGAACCAGACAAAGCAGATGAAGCCAAACCAAGAGAGGAAAAGAAACCGGTGGATGCAAAGAAGAAAGGTAGTTACTTGCTTGGTTGAAAGTTTCACTATATTGGTCCGTTATTTCCCACTTCCAGCGTACATTTCAGTTCCATTCAACGTATATTTATTTGGGTTCCCATTTCTGTGTGTGTTGTGATGCTTTTCTCCTGGGTTTGGCACTGACTGAAAAAGCAAAATATTGGACGTTGCAAAACAGCAGTGACTGAATGACACAAATGCTTCATAGACTTCTTGTCGATTTTCCAGAAGATGATGAGCTTGCAGAAAAAATTACTGCCCTAAGTAAGAATATGTTTTTTACTTATTTAAAATGTCTGGTTGTTTGTAAACCAGCAACCTGACCTCCCCCTAAAACTGTCCGAAACCGTATGCAACCTAGGCATCAGGTTCGACCCCCAATTATCCTTTCTCCCCCACATCCGGTCCCTCATCAGCACCGCTTTCTTCCACCTCCGACGAATTGCGTGTCTCCGCCAATACCTTACCCCAAAAGCCACTGAAACCCTGGTCCATGCCTTTGTCACCTCTTGGCTGGACTATTCAAATGCCGTCCTCATTGGTCTCCCCTCCACTACCATTCATAAAATCGATGTCATCCAGAATTCTGCCGCTGCATTCTTACCCGCACCAAACTCTGCTCCCCGATTACCCCAGTCCTTGCCAGACTGCATTGGCTGCCTGTCCATGAGAGGATCGACTTCAAGATCCTCACTCTTGTCTTCAAATCCCTGCACTCCTCTGCAACCCCCGACCTCTCTGACCTCCTCTCTCCTCACACAGTGCCCGTTACATTCGCTGCACCGGGTCTGGCCTCCTCCTTGTCCCCCGAATCCTCCGCTCCACCATCAGCGGCTGTGCCTTCAGCCACTATGCCCCGAGGCTCTGGAATTCCCTTCCTCACTCCCTTTGACTCGCCACCTTTCTTCCTAATTTCAGGTCTCGGCAGAAGACCTTTCTTTTCGAGCGAACCTTTGGTCACCTTCCTCCCCCTCCCTCTGGCTCCTACCCCTCCCCCCGGCTCGGCCCTGTGATCCATTACTGTGAAGCGCTCTGAGCGGCGTGGAGGGCTCTATATAAATCCAAGTTGTAAATCACTGGTTGGAAATATTCAAGAAACTGCTTTTATAGACAGTTAATTACTGAGATAATTGGCAGTTTTAACTATTGGGTCCTGAGCATAGTAAACTCATGTTGTAACTCTTCAGCAATTAACATCTGTCACAGTACCTCATCGCACAAATACTATCCCACTTTGCAGATTGTTGTGTTGCCACTCAATATGTATTCAAAACCCAATACGTGTTTACCCACTATTTCTTATATAGAAGAGGATATTAAAGAAATAGAAAAAGGTAAATTTGAATCGATTTGAGACTTTGCATGAAATTCATCAGACACATCTGTGACTGGGCTTCTGTATTTTCGGCTGTAAAGATACCACTTCTATAGAAATATTTTATGTTCTGATGCTCGTGGGAGAGTAACAAGAAGAGGTTTAAACGCAACATGAGAAATCGTGAAAATACGCCTCAGTTTATATAGTTATTGATGTGTGGATATCTGTTATGTAACCTCAACCTCTTTCATCGTGTGTGTGCATTGGGATTTCAAGTGTTGATGATTCTTGTGAATGTGATGTGATCCTCTTACTGTGTTGGAAAGGAAACGGCAGCCGTAGGTTGGAGTTTGGTTCTCCCCAAGCAAGAGAATCATTCACTGTTGGAATAAAAATACCTCATAAATGTTTTGTTTGCTTTTCAGAAATAGAAGAGTGTAAACAGCTCACAGTCCTGGCAGGTGAGACTCATGTCCAGAAAGCCTTGTGAAATGGGTCATGTCAACATCCTTGTTGTGAGTCGAGTCTATCCTTTCCCAAGTGCAGCGCCCAGCACATAATACCAAACTGCAAACACTTCTTAACTTCTCACCCTTTCACCTTTCCTCACTGTGTTCTCTTGTATTATTAGTTACATGAGGTCGTCACTTGGTGGTTCTGTTTCTCTCGGCTTCTTTTCTGGCTGCCCGGCTCAAGGGGGCAAAGTCAGCAACAGGCAATGAGTGTATTCTCACGCAGTGCTTAATGGATTCTTTGCTTGGGCTTTAGAGCAAGAGGTTGTTGCAGAGGACGAGGACACAGCAAGTAAGCCCAGATTATTTGTGCTGAATGTTCAGGCTGAATTTTGTTTGTTAGTATCTGACCTGTTGTATCAAACTCACATTTATGGCTGAGTTTATCAGAGGTTGTCCGACCACATCTTTGTAAAGCGGTTGAGTAATAATTAGGAGAAACTCCCAAAGTATCTACATTTCCCATTGAAGAATTCCCTCAATCTAAACTAATTTTATGGCTTTTCAAAAATAGAATTAAAAACAGAAAGTGCAGAGACAGGTGAGCTTTAAAATTTGATCAACATCACATTCTTTGGCTTCTGTTGCTTTGACCTGAATATTTTTCTTGTGAGAAGACACGATTACGGTTCTGCTCTGATCATTTCTTGTTTCACAGTGTCTCTCCTCACATATATCCTCAGATACATCAGTTTGCGAGGAATCAGTTGGATCACACTGGGTTGTTGTGCTCAAATGTGTCATTGTTTGTGTTGGGGTCGGGGTGTCAGTGGCTTCATGTTGTGATGACGGTTGTGAGTTTCTATCTGAAATACTAATACAGTGGGAGAAGAGTTGTCCCCAATTCATGACATTATTTTGTTACGTAAGAAAAAAATCACTCTGTTTTTCAGAACTGGAAAAGTGTAAAACAAAACTAAAGGAAGCAGGTAGGGAAGAGGTTTCTGAATTTCAATCAAGAGAATGATTTTTTTCTGCTGATTATACAATTGATATCAACAGGAAACTATACATAAGTGTGATTCTTATTAGTAGCTTTTTGCTTACAGAGGATCTTAAAATTAAACAAACTGCAGGTAAATGTTTATATACTGTTACACATCACAGTATCAATGTTATCATTTCATTTGTTGCAAACACATTTTTGATCTTAAATGTTGAAAATCGTTTACTTGGTTAATTGGTATTAGATATAGCAAACGTCTTTTGAAAATCATGATTTTGCTCAATCTGTTGCTGACTTTAATCTCAGATATAGATATCAAATCAACTGACGACAATGATATAAAGGAAAACTTACACACACTGACTCACAAGGCTCACTCAGAAGTAGAAAATCACACTGTCCCAAACGACACAGGAACCAGGCATTCACCAGAATCAAGGGAGGATCTAAACAGCTGTCACATAGCTCAAGAGTTCATCTTTTTTGTTTTAGACTTAGAGAAAGTGAAAGAAAGCTTGAAAACTACAGGTACAGAAAACAGTGTGTTTTAAATTATATAAATATAGGTTTATGTATATGCACTTGGTACATCATAGAATAATAAATGTAATTCAGGTTCACAGTGAGTAATAAGACATTTGGTATTTTCTAAAATGTGCAGATGTTTTAATTCCATGATATAATCATATCACATAATATATCTGAATGCCCTCTATTTGTTGTTTTCCTCAACAGAGGAATCAATTGAAAAGAATGATAAAGGTAATTACATGGATCTGAGAGAGGAGTTTTGTCAAACATTTGATCACTGATATCCATTACAATCTCTCGGTTCCTCTTTTGATATCAGACTCTCTTCATAAAGGCTCCAAATGGGTTGTTCATGGATCATCCTCTCCTTGTGTTTATCCTCCTTCAGAGAGGCAAACGATAAAAAACAACAACAATATTACATTTGCTATAGCGCTTTCTAATCAGGTGGACATCCCAAGGTGCTGGACAGAAAGAATCTTGGACCCGAGCTGTGGTTCGGGATCTGGGAGTGTGGAGGGCAGGGGAGGAAGCAGGTAGATTGAAAGTACAGCCAAAGTGGTGGGTCTTAAGATGGATCTTGAAGTGGCAAGGGAGGGGTCGAGGCAGAGGGACTGCAGTATGGTGTTCCAGAATGTGGGGCAGAGTGGGGTGAACAAGGTGGGGGACGTGAAGTTGGCTGGAGGCTGCTGAGTATTGGGAGCGAGCAGTATGGTAGGGGGTTAGGAGGTCACAGAGGCAGGGTGGAAGCAAGACCATGGGGGGCTTTGAAGGTGAGGACCAGAATCTTGAACGGTATCCTCTGTGTGATGGGAAGCCAGTGGAGTTGGACAAGGATGGGGATGATAGGGTCCCGGATCCTCGTGCGGGAGAAGACATGGGCTGCAGATTTCTAGGAGATCTCTGTCTTATAGAGGGAGGAGTTGAAGAGTCCTACAAGCAATGAGTTTGTACAGTTGAGCCTCGATGTAATGAAAATATGTATGAGAGTTTTGGTGGCCTGTGGTGTGAGACAGTGGTGACCTTGTGGGGCTGGGGGAAAGTAGAGCATGTCATGGTGCAGATGTAGGGTAGAAAGGATAGTTGAGGGACAAACAAGGCCCCAAGGTTCCAGATTGGCTCAGTGAGGTGGAGTGAGCCCCATGGATGGTGATGCTGTCAGCGCCTGAGGTGAGGAGGCGCTGGCGGGAGCCAATCAGGAGAGCCTCGGTCTTGTTGACATTCAACTGCAGAAAGTTAGCTCTCATCGAGGACTTGATGTCCAACAGACATTCTGTCAGCACAGCAGTGGTCCTGGAGTCAGGGTGGAGGCAGAGAGGTAGAGTTGGGTGTCATCCGGATATGTGTGGAAGTTGAACCCATGTCTGTGGATGATGTCACCAAGCGGGAGTATATAGTTACCGAGAGGAGGGGACCAAGGACAGAGCCCAGAGGAACGCTGCACGCTACAGTGCGGGGGCAAGAGGGGAAGCCATTTGTGGAGATGAAGTGGAGGCGGTGTGTGAGGTATGATCTGAACAAGTCAAGGGTTTTTTAATGATAAGACTGATGACAGTATTTTGTGAATGGGTTGGGAACACTACCAGAAGACAAGGAGACAGGGAGAGGTTTATTATGAGTAGAGGGGCAAGGAGGTGAAGCTGGGAGGTAAGGAGAGAGGTCGGGAAGGGGTTGAGGGAGCAGGTGTTTGGTTTCATGCGGGTTGTGATGCTGATGATGGAGGAGGTGGAGACAGGTTCAAATATCGATTCCCTTGAGGAGGGAGCGATGAGTAGGGGCCGGGGTGGGGGGAGGAGATGGGGAGGGGGTAGCCGCTGCAGTGGCAGAGGCAGCTGAGCGGATTCCCTTAACTTTAGATTTGAGGAAATCCAGCATCGCCTCGCAGTTGGCATTTGAGTTGAGGATGGGCGAGTTGTAAGAGGGTGGGCGGAGGAGCCCGTTCACAATGGAGAAGAGCAGCCTGGGGTTCCTCAGCCTCGAAAATTGTCTTGGAGTAGAACGATAACACAATCTGAATCCACCTGTCGATTGATTGAAACAAATTTGCTTAATGAAGTGTTATTTTTCAGAAAGAGACACTTGTGAAGAAGAGATAAAAGCAGCAAGTGAGAATATATAATTCATTTAAAGATTTGGGAGGAGGGATTTTAGTTGTTTTGGGGCTGACAATGTGAAAATTGGCAAAAATAGGTGAGGCGTATGAAGAGCAATTTAAGACAGATATCAAGAGGCATTTCATTACACAATGGTGATCAAAGTTGAGCAATCGTTGTATGCTGTGGAATAATCAATTGGAATGTGTGAACAACAACAACAGAACAATTTCGTTTGTATAGCGACTTTCACATGGAAGGATGTCTCAAGGCACTGGACAGTCAGTGTTTTGGAGCTGCGGAGGGTGGAGGGCAGTGGGGAAAGCAGATTGATCAAAAGCACGGTCTAAGTGGAGGGTATGGAGATTGGTCTTGAATGATGCAAGGGAAGGGGCGAGGTGGAGGGACCGCAGGATGGAGGCATTTGCATAGTTAAACCTCGATGTTATGAATGCATGTATGAGAATTTGGGCAGCCTGCAGTGTGAGACAGTGGTGAAGCCGAGCAATTTGGCGGAAGTGGGGAGGCACTCATGGGAGCCAATCATGAGGTCCTTGGTCTTGTTGATGTTCAATTGAAGAAAGTTAGCTCTCATCCACACATTGTGTCAGGACAGCAATGGTCCTGGGATCAAGCGTGGAGGCAGAGAGGTACAGTTGGTTGTAATCCACATAAAAGTGGAAGTTGACCCCATCTCTTCATGTGATGTCACCAAGAGGGAACATATAGATGTTGAAGAGGAGGGGACAGAGCTCTGAGGAATGCCACACAAGATGGTGCTTGGCTAGAGGAGAACCCGTTTATGGAGATGAAATGGAGGCGGTGTGAGAGGTTCACTCTGAACCATTCAAGGACAGAACCGTGAAAATTAAGATGAGAGAAGAGGCAGTGGATGAGGATGGAGTGCTCAGTGATGTTGAAGGCAGCAGAGAGGACAAGGAGGTAGAGGGAGCCCTGGTCACAGATGGACAGAATGTCATATATCACTTTAACTGGGGCTTTTTCTGGGTTGTGGGCGGCATGGAAACTGATTGGAGGGGTTTGTGATGGTAGTGGCGGGAGAGGAAGGAGCGAAGCTGGAAAGCAATGACTCGTTCAAGGACCTTGGAGAGGAAACGGAGTTTGCAGATGGGGTGGCAGTTTAAGAGCAGTTTTGGGCCCAGGGAACGTTTTTTAAGAATAGGAGTGATGAGGACCGTTTTTAATTTGATGGGAATGGTAGCAGTGGACGAGGAGAGGTTTATGATGTCAGTGAGATGAGGGGCAAAGAGGTGGAGCTGGGAGATAAGTCGATGGGCAGGGATGGATTTGAGGGAACAGGTGCTCGGTTTCATGTGGTTTATAGCTGTGATGGGTGAGGAGGGGGAGACAGTTACAAAGGTTTGGCAGGAGGGATGGGTAGGCCCTGGGTTGAGAGGGGGAGATGTCTAGGGGCAGTAGATGGAAGGGCAGAGGCAGCTGAACGGATCTTCTCGACTTTGGATTGACCTGCATCGTCTCGCAGTTGGCATTGGAGGTGGGAATGGGCGAGGCATGAGAGGGTGGATGGATGAGCCGATTGGTGATGGAGAAGACAAGCCTGGGGTTTTCCTTGGCTGATGATTTAGCAGAGGCGAGGGCAGAGTCGTAAGATTTGATGAGGTCCAGTCAGATCTGCCGATGGGACGATAAGTTTGATTTAAGCCAAATGTATTCAACAGCACACACCTGTGTTTTAAGGGAACGGAGGTGGCTGATGTACCATGGTGACTTTCATGAGTAGGAATTGGTTTGGGAAGTGAGGGCAGCAAGGGAATCAAGATTGGAGGATAAGTTTGATTTAAGCCAAATGTATACCAGGTCGAGCGGGTGACCGTGGATGTGGGTGTGGAGTGCATGTGGAGGAAGAGGTTGAGGGAGGAGATAAGGGAGGAGACGGCATTCTTCAAAGTGAAGGGCATTCTTTATTTTGCTTCTAACATTGTCTCCAGACGAATCTTTTGTTTCTTGTGAAATGTTGAAATGTGCCTCTGATTCCCAAATGGACCATCTATGGCTTGAAATGAAAATGTTTAACCCGTTCATTGTTTTGGTTTCCAGAAGTAACCAAATGTCAGACAGATCTAAAAGAAGCAGAAAAAGGTTTGAAGTTTGGGGATGTCAATGATGCTCTGTTTGTTGGTCATTTGTTTCTGTTTCTATTTAATATCAAACAATTAGTATTTTAAAACTGGTTTCAGAGAAAAGTTGTTGAATAAATTTCGATTTTGTTTCCAGAACTAAAAAAATGTCGAGAAGAGCTGAGAAAATACAGTGAGTAGAATTATTTCATTTTTGGAGCTTGTTTAAGGGCTAAATATCTATGAAATAATTGTAAATATTGTTGGCCAGGAGACCTGGAGATAATCCTTTCCCACTGTGACAAATGCCAGGCCAAATATCCTCAATACATTCCTCAATGGCCTTATGGATGTAGGATGTTAATGGGCCGTCAATGCCTTTTATTGCCCATTATTTGCGATTCAGAATAATTCCATGTGAAATGCTTTGAGAGGATTTGACTTTAGCACAAAATGAAGTGCAAGGATTGATGTAGTAAGAATTAATGAATTCCATGTTCGACTTGTAGAGGATAATGATGATAAAGCTTTAGGTAAGGGCGACATTTTATTAAGTTCACTCTTTGCAATTAAATATTTACTCAGAAAGAAAGTTATTCTCTTATTCCCTTTCCATACTGAAAACTAAAATTTCTAAATCTTAAAATGTCTTTATAATTAACCTTTTAAAGTAGGAATACCCAGCACATGCCCAGATGGCAAATCAGGCAGATGATTGTGTTTTCTGTTTCCTCTGAGGTATTATTATTGTAAATGTAACCTGAAACATCCTGAGCTGCACTGCACCATTCGCACAACCTCCCGAACTTTCTAGACTGTTTTGAAGAGAAGCATTTCACCAATAATTCTTTAAACCTGATCATATTTACAGAAGCAGAACGGGACAACAAGAAAACAGGTAGATTGTGAGAAGGTGGATGTTGTTACATTACGATTGATTTCGAATTTCACTGATATTTTTCTTTTTGCTCAGGTTACAGTTTAAAGGAAATAATAATAAGAATAATAATCCTTGCATTTGATATAGCGCTTTTCATGTCGGGAGGACGTCCCAAAGCGCTTCACAGAACACACTGTAAAGTGAATTGACTGTATATTTGTGGGCGAACGCGGCAGCCAATTGCGCACAGCAATGTCCCACAAACAGTCGTGGATTGAAAATGACCAATTTATTATTGTTTTTGGTTTTTTGGAGGGAAATAAATTCAATAGTATTGTAAACAATGTACATCTGGCAGGTTTATTGTGTGTCTATTTTATTGTGATATAGTAAGTTCTCCTGATCTTTGTTTTTCAGAACTGGCTGATTGTCAGAAGGAATTGAAAGCTGCGCGTGAGTATAAAGTCTACAACAACAACAACAACAACAAGATTCCATTTATAGAGCGCCTTTCACGTCAGGAGGACGTCCCAAGGCGCTGCACAGTTGGGTCATGACCCGAGCAGGGGGGAAATGGTCAGGGTGAGGGGAGGGAAGGGAGGGAGAGAGGAGGGGGAAATGGTCAGGGTGAGGGGAGGGAAGGGAGGGAGCGAGGAGGAGGAAGAGAGTCGAGAGGGGAGCTGAAGGCACGGTCAAAGAGAAAGGTTTTGAGACCGGCCTTGAAGGAGGAAAGGGAGGAAGCAAGGCGAAGGCACTGGGGGATAGAGTTCCAGAGCCTCGGGGCTGAGAGGCTGAAGGCCCGACCACCGATAGTAGGGCGGTTGGGGCGGGGGACGTGGAGCAGACCGGAGCCAGAGGAACGGAGGGTACGGGCAGGTAGGTAGGGGGATAGTAGGTTGGAGAGGTAGGAGGGAGCAAGGCCGTGAATGGCCTTGTAGGTGAGGATGAGGATCTTGAAATCAATCCTCTGGGGGATGGGGAGCCAGTGGAGGCGAGCGAGGGTGGGAGTGATGTGGTCCCGAAGCCTGGTGCGGGACAGTACACGAGCTGCAGAGTTCTGAATGACCTGCAGCTTGTGGAGGGAGGTGGCGGGAAGGCCGGCGAGGAGAGAGTTCCCATAGTCCAGCCTTGAGGTGACAAAGGCGTGAACCAGGGTTTCAGCAGCGTGAGGGGTGAGGTAGTGCCGTAATCTGGCGATATTCCGGAGGTGATGGAAGGCGGTGCCAGTTGTGGTGCGGATGTGAGGGAGAAAGGACAGCTCAGGGTCGAACAAAACGCCGAGGTTCCTGACTGGCTTTGAGAGGTGGAGAGTGCAGCCTTGGATGCTGATGGTGTCAGCGCCTGAGGTGCGGAGGCGCTGACGTGAGCCAATCAGGAGGGCCTCGGTTTTTGCACGTTGAGCTGAAGAAAGTTGTCTCTCGTCCAGGACTCGATGTCGGACAGGCAGGCTGTCAGGACATCGGTGGTCGTGGAGTTGAGAGTAGAGGAGGAAAGGTAGAGTTGGGTGTCATCCGCATACATGTGGAAGTTAACCCCATGTTTGCGGATGATGTCACCAAGGGGGAGCATATAGAGGGTGAAGAGGAGGGGACCGAGGACAGAGCCCTGAGGGACACCACATGAGACAGTACGGGGGGTGGAGGAGAAGCCATTCGTTGAGACGAAGTGAAGACGGTGAGAAAGGTACGACCTAAACCATTCAAGGACAGTGCCTTGAAAGTTGAGGTGGGAGGACAAGCGGTGGAGTAGGATAGTGTGGTCGACCGTATCGAATGCTGCCGATAATGATAGATACATATCTATACACACGTTGGATGTAATGTATTTGTTGCCCTTATGATCAGAAGTTCCTTGAACAATGTGTTGTATTTCTTTGAACGATCATTGTGTTGGAAAACATATTCTTGAGCTCTACCATGTTATCAAATCCACCAGAATGTACATTTGGTTTTGTAGATGAGGCGCTTTGCAAATCTAATATTCTGATCCTTTTTATTCCATTAGAAGAAAAAGCCTATGATAAACTAACACCAGAAGGTAGATTGGATGCTTTACATAACAACAACAACAACAAGATTGCATTTATAGAGCGCCTTTCACATCGGGAGGACCTCCCAAGGCGCTGGACAGTTGAGTCGGGACCTGAGCATTGGGTGGAAATGGTCAGGGTGAGGGCAGGGAAGGGAGAGAGCGAGGAGGTGGTAGAGAGTCGAGAGGGGAGCTGAAGGCACAGTTGAAAAGAAAGGTCTTCAGACCGGCTTTGATGGAGGAAAGAGAGGAAGCGGCGAAGGCACTGGGGGATAGAGTTCCAGAGCCTCGAGGCTGAGAGGCTGAAAGCCCGGCCATCGATGGTAGGACGGTTGTGGCGGGGGATGTGGAGCAGACCGGAGCCAGAGGAACGGAGGGTACGGGCAGGTAGGTAGGGGGATAGTAGGTCAGAGAGGTAGGGGAGAGCGAGGCCGTGAATGGCCTTGTAGGTGAGGGTGAGGATCTTGAATTCGATCCTCTGGGGGATGGGGAGCAGTGGAGGCGAGCGAGGGCAAGGGTTAGGGCGAGGGTGAGGGTGAGGGTGGGAGTGATGTGGGCGCGGTGTCTGGTGCAGGACAGTATACGAGCTGCAGAGTCCTGAATGACCTGCAGTGTGGAGGGAGGGCCGGGAAGGCCGCGAGGAGAGAGTTCCCATAGTCCAGCCTTGAGGTGATAACGATCAGTGGGCAACTAAAATTTGGTTCTATTACAAGTGAACATAATTGATGTGAGTTGAATTAATTGAACAATCAAACATAAAGTCCTTTCATATACATCTGTACATAATTATTTTTATAGTGAAAAAATTGATCATGTTACAAGACGGTATGTATTGAAAAAAATTCAAGATTTCATGAGGTTTAATCAATTTTCTTTCAGCTTCAATTACTCAGTTTATTGCAATTTAATGTATTTGTGATCAAGTTAATACTGCAATATTTTGGAAGAATAAAGTTACACAGTTTGTAGGATTGCTAGTTTTTCGTTAACACAAAGAATTATCATGTGATTTACAGAACAGAAAGCGTGTGAAATATCACTGGATAAATTAGGTAAGAAAGTGGAGGATATGTGTAAAACTGCTGAGAAAAGAACATGTGCGGTGCACACACTGTTCATAACTGCAGCCAATTCCACAGTTTTGCTGATGTGGGAGGAATTGAGGACACATTGTATTGTGAACCCGCATTTTTGTGACCAAGGCTGGTGAGAAATAATGCAAATATTATTGTTGATTTGAGCAGAAAAGGAGAATAAGAAGCAATTGGAAGGTAAAATCCCATGGCATCAATGTGTATTTTTCTATCAGTTACCTACATTTCAACACATAGTCATCTTATTGTCCTTAACAATCACTGGCATCTCATTTACACTTTGTTTCTTGGTGTTTAGAATTTGAGAAGGTTGATGGGACCCTGAAAAAAAAAGGTGAGGAACAAACATGAAATGATTTTCTGTTAAAATGAAGAAAACAGTTTATTTGCATGTTATATTTAAATTAATTCCAGTTATGATATGAGTGATGTGGGTCACGATTGTTTATTTCAGTCTCTCCGTTCGAGGGTTATAGTTCACTGTGTGTTAATTACTGTGTTGCCCAACAGAGAAGCTACTTACTGAAAGGGAAAAAGGTATTGCCATCGATTTGCTTTATGTAACATGATCCCTGAAACTTGGCTGTTGTTTCCTTTCGTTTCTCGAACAGATGTAAACAAAACAAAACAATCTGTTTTACAGAGACTGATGTAATGTGCAGAATCTTCTTACCTTGAACTAAATTGACCATCGACTGTGCAGCGTTTACCATCCAACTATATTGATATGAAAATAAAATTGTTCCCTCTCATCTGTGTTTGCTTTGCAGAACAAACCTCTTGCCAAGCAAGACTGAAAGCTGCGAGTAAGGAAACAGCCTTTTGTTATCTGCTCCCTCTTGGGGACATCATCCACAGACACGAGGTCAACTTCCACATGTATGCGGATGACACCCAACTGTATCTCTCTGCCTCCCCACTGACTCCAGGAAAACAACAACAACAGCAAAATTACATTTATAGAGCGCCTCTCACATTGGGAGGACGTCCCAAAGCGCTGAACAGTCAGATGTCGGAGCCTGAGCATGGGGAAGTGGGGTGCAGGGGTGAGGGAAGTCAGAGAGGTGGGAGGGTGACCAAAGGCACGATCGAAGAAAAGGGTCTTGACACCGGCCTTGAAGGAGCCAAGGGAGGATGCGAGGTGAAGGTACCGCGGGATGGAGTTCCAGATTGTGGGGACAGAGAGGCTGAAAGTCCAGCCATCAATGGTAGGGCGGGTTGGGCGCGAGACATGGGGCAGGCGGGAGCCCAAAGAACGTAGGGAAAGGGCAGGTTGGTAGGGAGTCAGCAGGTCAGAGAAGTAGGAGGGGGCAAGGCCATGAATGGCCTTAAAGCAGAGGACGAAAATCTTGCACTCGATCCTCTGGGGGATGGGGAGCCATTGGAGTCGGACAACTGCTGTCGACCAGAATGTCTGTCAGACATCAAGGCCTGGAATGAGAGCTAATTGTCTTCATTTGACTTCAACAAAACCGAGGTCCTCCTGATTGTCTCCGTCAGCTCCTCCACACCACAGGCGCTGACACCATCGCTATCCAAGGATGAACATTCCACCTCACTGAGCCAGTCTGAAATCTTGGCCTCTTGTTTGAACTTGAACTATCCTTTCTACCCCACATCCGTGCCATAAGCCGCTATGACTACCCCACTTCTGCAAAATCGCCCGTGTCAGCCACTGTCTAACACCCTAAGCCGCCAAATCCCTCATCCACTCATTCATAACCTCCAGTCTTGACTATGCAAACTCCCTGCTTGTGAGGCTCTCCAGCAACTCTCGGCATAGGCTGCAAATCTTCCAGACCTCTGCAGCCCATTTTATCTCCAACTCTACAACCTCCACCAACCTGCCCCTGTCTCCGCTCAGCTGTCTCCAGCCTACTTCACTTCCCCCATCTCTCCTGCCCAACCATTGGCGGGAGGCCATCAACCCTGCCCCAACATCTGGCACTCCATGCTGCAGTCCCTCATCTTTGCCCCCTTCCTTCAATTACCCTCCTTGCCCCCCTCTCTCCCCTCTAACCTCTCCGATCTCAACCCCCAGTTCGGGTTCAAAGTAATTTTATAATGTTCATCATATTGAGAAATCTAATTCCAACAGAAGAAGGAAAAGAACCAGACCGAGCAGATGAAGCCAAACCAAGAGAGGAAACGAAACCGGTGGATGTAAAGAAGAAAGGTAGTTATTTGCCAGTTTGAAAGTTTTACTATATTGGTCAGTTATTTCCCACCTCCAGGGTACATTTCAGTTCCATTCAACATACATTTATTTGGGTTCCCATTTCTGTGTGTGTTGTGATGCTTTTCTCCTGGGTTTGGCGCTGACTGTGGAAATGCAGAATATTGGACGTTGCAAAACAGCAATGACTGAATGACACAAATGCTTCATAGATTTCTTGTCGATTTTATCAGAAGAGGATGATCTTAAAGCAAAAATCTCTGCCCTCAGTAAGAATACTTTTTTACTTATTTAATTATTGTGATGAGATGTTTGGTTGGTTATAACCTTCTTCTGTGTAGGTTATTCCGTTTTGTTTTTGCTGAGAATTCAGGGTGTTTAACTTACTGGTGAATCTGTATAAGTCGCTGGTTGGAATTATTGAAGAAAATGGGGAATTGCTCAGATTGTTCTGTAGGTTGTAAACTCATGTTGTAATTGTTATCGATTAACATCTATTGCAGAACCTCATCACACATATAATATCCCACCTTTACAGGTTGCTGTGTTGCTAATCAAAGAGCATTCAAAACTAATGTGTTTAACCATTATTATTTTTCTAGAAGCAGAGATTAAAAACATAGAAGAAGGTAACTGCTGAAATGATTTAAAAATGTATATGAAATTCATGACTCATATCTATTACTATGAGCTTCTGCGGCTTTCGCTGTAAAGATACCACTTCTATTGAAATATTTTATATTCTGATGGTTGTGGGGAAAACAAGAAGAGGTTTAAACGCAATATGAGAAACATTGATTACGCCTCAGTTTATATAGTTATTGATGTGTAGATATTTGTTATGTAACCTCAACCTCTTTCATCGTGTGTGTGCATTGGGATTTCAAGTGTTGATGATTCTTGTGAATGTGATGTGTTCCTCTTACTGTGTTGGAAAGGAAACGGCAGCCGTAGGTTGGAGTTTGGTTCTCCCCAAGCAAGAGAATCATTCACTGTTGAAATAAAAATACCTCATAAATGTATTGTTTGCTTTTCAGAAATAGAAGAGTGTAAAAAGCTCACAGTCCTGGCAGGTGAGACTGATGTCCAGAAAGCCTTGTGAAATGGGTCATGTCAACATCCTTGTTGTGAGTCGAGTCTATCCTTTCCCAAGTGCAGCGCCCAGCACATAATACCAAACTGCAAACACTTCTTAACTTCTCACCCTTTCACCTTTCCTCACTGTGTTCTCTTGTATTATTAGTTACATGAGGTCGTCACTTGGTGGTTCTGTTTCTCTCGGCTTCTTTTCTGGCTGCCCGGCTCAAGGGGGCAAAGTCAGCAACAGGCAATGAGTGTATTCTCACGCAGTGCTTAATGGATTCTTTGCTTGGACTTTAGAGCAAGAGGTTGTTGCAGAGGACGAGGAAACAGCAAGTAAGCCCAGATTATTTGTGTTAAATGTTCAGGCGATATTTTGTTTGTTTGTGTCCGAGCTGTTGTATGAATCTAACTTTTACATTGTCCAGTTTATCAAAGGGCGTCCGACCACATCATCTTGAAATGCTCAGAGACGCTTTCTGATGTGTTTGGCACATTACAAACACTGGTTATGTTTTCCTAAGAATAGCTAAGTTTTGTTGCATGTTTTTTTAAATCTGTATCAATGATTGATGAAGATGCTAAAAAAAACTTGAATATACGTATAGTCTGAGGTTTACATATTTGTGTTTTATTGAAGTTTGTATCGTATAAACAAAAATTGATTTAGTAATAATTACAAGAAACTCCCAAAGCCAAAGTATCTACATTTCCCATTGGAGAATTCCCTCAATCGAATCTAATTTTATGGCTTTTCAAAAATAGAATTAAAAACAGAAAGTGCAGAGACAGGTGAGCTTTAAAATTTGATCAATGTCATATTCTTTGGCTTCTGTTGCTTTGACCTGAATATTTTTCTTGTGAGAAGACACGATTACGGTTCTGCTCTGATCAGTTCTTGTTTCACAGCGTCTCTCCTCACATATATCCTGAAATACATCAGTTTGCGAGGAATCAGTTAGATCACACTGGGTTGTTGTGCTCAAATGTGTCATTGTTTGTGTTGGGGTCGGAGTGTCAGTGGCTTCATGTTGTAATGATGGTTGTGAGTTTCTGTCTGAAATACTAATACAGTGGGAGAAGAGTTGTCCCCAATTCATGACACTTGTGTTATGTAAGAAAAAAATCCCTATGTTTTTCAGAACTAGAAAAGTGTAAAACAAAGCTAAAGGAAGCAGGTAGGGAAGAGGTTTCTGAACTCAGAATAAAATTATATTCTTTCTGCTGATTATACAATTGATATTGAGACAGGAAAATATACATAATTGTTCTTTTCAATAGTTCTTTTATGCTTACAGAGGATCTTAAACTGAAGCAAACTGCAGGTAAATGTTCGTGTGCTGTCACATAGCACAGTATGAATGTTACTTCATATGTTAGCAATAGTGAATAAAATTCAGACATATTGTTATTTGAAAAATATTTTTCTTCAAAATATGTTTTGGGGAAGACATCCTGACTTTAAATCTGAAATCTGGGCACAAATGAACAGTCGATAAAGGAATACCCCAAAATACATACAGACCAACAGGGAGACATAGATATATGAAATAACACCCTCACAACCAAAAAGGAAAAAGCATTTACCAGATAAAAAAAACTATTAATGGCTGAAAAAAAATATTTTCGGTTTTAGAATTAGAGGAAGCAAAACAAAGCTTGAAAACTACAGGTGCTGAAAATACTGATGTTTTTTATTTAAAATAAATCATATATTGTGCAGATCATATCACAACACAATCATGCCGTTTTACCATTCAAGACAGCTGAATTTTGTGCTTCTTGCAATTTTAATTTTAAAACTTGTATGTTTATTCCAACACTAAAATACCAAAATAATAGGAACAAGAAATTGTTTAAAATGTTAGATTAGATCTTAAAATGATGATATGTTCATACTACACAATGTATTTGAACAGCACTAATCCGTGTTTTCCCAACAGAGGAATCAATTGAAAAGAATGATAAAGGTAATCACATTGATCTGAGAGAGGAGATTTGTCCAACACTTGATCACTGATATCCATTGCAATCTCTCGGTTCCTCTTTCGGTATCAGACTCCCTTCATTGAAGGCACCAAATGGGTTGTTCGTGGATCATCCTCTCCTTGTGTTTGTCCTCCTTCGGAGAGGCAGTCGATAACACAATCTGAAGCCATCTGTCGATTGATTGAGACAAATTTGCTTAATCAAATGTTCTTTTTCAGAAAGAGACACTTGTGAAGAAGAGATAAAAACAGCAAGTAAGAATATATAATTCATTTAAAGATTTGGAGAAGGATTTTATCTTGTTTGCTGCTGACGATGTGAAAATTGGTGAAAATAGATGAAGCTTATTTATGTCGAGTAATTTGAGTAATTTACTTTAAGAAGGATAACAAGACGTATATCACAATGGATAATCAAAGTAGAGCAAACATCGGGAAATGGTTTGGTTGTTTATTATGGAAGAATAAACAGGAATGTGCGAAGGGCAATCCTCATTCTGTTACTAAAATTGTTTCCCGATCTTCTCGGGTTCTAAATCAGTTGAAAATTGCTGAATCCCAA